ATCTTTAATTTTTTATTATAATTTAATTTAAATTTAATAATGAAATAATTTATTTTTATTTAATAATATAACATTTTATAAAGATAATAATTAAGTATTTTGTTAGATCTCAATGATTATCCTAATTATATTTTAAATTTTTTATATTCAAAATGAGATGTTATCATGTATTTGATTATGTTTATCTGTAGTTAGTTACACGAATTCAGATATAGAGCTTTAATAAGTTATACTTACGCACAGTCTATTTGTAATATTGAATTTTAAGTAATACACATTAATAAACCGTACTTTACATATAAGAAATGTTTTTAATAGTTTTTATCAAATGTTTTATAATATACTACAGATATAGATTATTCTATGTAGGGGTGCTCAAAGACCCGACCAACCCAACCCAACCCAACCCAACCCAACCTGAAGTAATCATATGGCTAATCGAGTTGTAAAATTGTCAAATCGTAGGTATTGAGTTGATATTGAGTTACTATTATATGAACTCAACCCAACCTGATGAACCCGATATCCTTTTATATCTTGGATTTAATATGATTATTAAATTTCTATTAATATATATATTAGACAATTACACTATCATGTATGCTTTTCATATACACATATTTTCAATCTATTCATATCTCTATATAACTCATTCATATATATGTTCAATAACTGTGAATATATATATATATATATATATATATATATAAATTGAGAAAATTAACTGAATATGATATACGTAAGAAACATGGATAAGTTGTATCAAATGGTTGATAATGGAAACGAAATTATGAATAAAGAAATAACATATTAAAGGTTAAAAGAATATTTTAATATACCAAAGTATTAACCCGATCAATCCGGCCAACCCATACGGGTTGAGTTGGGTTATACTTTGGTTTGGGTTGAATTGAGTTAAAATTCTTTTAAACCACAAACATTAAATTAAGTTGTTCAAATGTTTTTAACCCGATCAACCTAACCATAAACGTCCCTAATTCTATGCATAAATAATCGTTTTTAATAATTTTTGTAAACAAATATCGATAAATCTTAGGACAAGGGTTCGCCGTAAAACGAGGGACAAGCGTGCAAGCGGCATCCTTTCAGCGGCATCTTCCCGTAACCCTTTCGTCATACGAGATTACAGTAGTGCGAATCCAACGAACTCGTCCCGTCGCCTCCACGATCAACATCCGTTCTCCCAATCGTCTCCACACAGGAAAATCATTTCAACCGTCATGTTTTACCGGCGGCGCCGGCCAGGGCCACAACAACGACGAAGATGATTCAATGCTTCAGCTGGTGTAAATGCCGGCCTGTATCCTTATTTACCTACGGTTGTTCATCTGATTTACATGGCCTTCTTAAGGTATATGGATATCTAACTTTGTATATAGCATCGTAATCGTTACAGTAGTTCCGATGTAATGATGTTTGTTCGCGATATGGTTGTATACAAATTCTCAAATAATTGATCGACTATGTTTTGATGAATTGAAGTACCGTGGTTTGAAGTCAGGATCTAGTGTCAATTCTAAGTCATGAATAGTATGAATAGCGCGATAAAAGTGGCATCTTAATCGATTGGATTATTCATTTAATTGGCGTGTTAATCGCCTATTGTGTTGTGTATTGCGCATCATGATTTATCTGAGCACGTGTTATGTTTGTCTACCGAATATTTTGATTCCAAGCATGTACATCTACATCCTGCTGTGTTAATTACAATATCAGTTTACTTGACATGAGGCAACTATATATAAAACGTTGTTGGGTTGTTTGTAGAATTGAGGTGTTATTCATTTTAACTATATAATATATGTTGTGCTTCAAAACATCAAGAATTCCAGTCTTCTAGTTATGTTTCTCAAATTAGAAAGATTCAAACATCATGTGGCACATATTGGAAATGGCTGGTTCCATTTTTCCTTTGCAAGTTAAGCCACCTACGAAACAGAAGGGCTAATAAATACTAAAAGTTTATATGAAAGAGCGAGGGTAGCCATTCACTAGATGATTTTATCTTTACGTGGTAGGCTCTCTTACCTGTTAACCAATAACTCTAGGATTCACTTTGCAATTGTACCTTCCCACGTTGCAATATCTATGGTCAAGATTTAGAAAACATAGACTCAAATTTGGGACTTAACTACGCAATCACTACTTGGTCTCTGAAACTGATGAACGGAATTAGTGCCTTCACTTATTTTTTGTTCTAAAGTCTATGTTGCGACTCTATTTTTTACAAACCTTTGTGGGTTATGCTTGAAAACAATAGTGATAGTTATTTCATCAAGAAGTGGTTACCATTCTTTTTCTGTTGTTCGTTTGCTGCTCAGCATTTTGATCATACAATCTCACATAGTGGGCATGATATAGAGGTGGTATATTAATTCTATGCAGGTTGTTGGTTGTTGCCAACGTTAGAAGGGCAGCGCATTCCCTTCTTCCAAGCTGTAAGAGCTGTTTCTCTGAAGTAAACAATCAGGGAGCGCGATTGGCAGTTGGCTTTCCCCACTCTTTTTATCGACAATATTCACAATATAAGGTTCTTGGCAGAGGCCTCACTTGTTGTACATTCCATGAAGCAAAGGGGAGCTTATGGAGCAGTAGAGATTTTCGAAGATTTTATTTTATATCAGCAAGTACTAAAGTTTCACGCCGTGCTCACATTGCATGGAGAAGAGTTTCCCAAATTTGTACCTATAGTGTGCCATCCCAACCAATGATTAGAATTGCTCGTGCTGTTAGCTTTGCTTTGAGTAGATCCCAGTTGATTGCTCCTGGTATATTAGCTTTTGTAGTAGGAGAGTTGGCTTGTACGCAAAGAACGTGGGCGGAGGCAGAAGGGTTCTCCTATAAGAATGATCTATACACACATGCACAGGATGGGCATGTTTACTTAACTACGTTTGTGTTCTCCCTTCTAGAAGTTCTAATATTGTTTCTTAGAGCAGTATATCTAGCATGTCTGTTTGCACCTTGCATAGCCATGGCTCCTTTCGCAAATTCCCTTGGCATTGAATTTCGTAAGACATGGCTACAATGTGTCCATAACACCTTAGAAAAGGCTGGACCCGCATTTATTAAATGGGGTCAGTGGGCAGCTTCAAGGCCTGATCTTTTCCCCAATGATCTCTGCACGGAGCTCGCAGAACTTCAGACAAAAGCACCAGCTCATAGCTATGCTCACACAAAGAATACTATTGAAAAAGCATTTGGCCGTCTATTGCCTGAGATATTTGAAAATTTTGAGGAGGAGCCTGTTGCATCTGGAAGTATAGCTCAAGTTCATCGAGCAACTTTAAAGTTTCGTCATCCTGGTCAACGTATAAAGCCTATTCTTGTTGCCGTAAAGGTTAGACATCCAGGAGTTAGTGAAAGAATTAGGAGGGATTTCATATTACTGAATTTATTCGCAAAAGTGTCAACATTTATCCCCACTCTGAAATGGTTGAGACTGGATGAAAGCATACAGCAATTTGCCGTCTTCATGATGTCCCAAGTTGATCTTGCCAGGGAGGCAGCTCATTTAAGTCGTTTTATTTACAATTTCCGAGGATGGAAGGATGTGTCATTCCCGAGGCCTCTATATCCACTGGTGCATCCTGCTATTTTAGTGGAAACTTTTGAGCATGGAGAGAGTATTTTGCACTATGTGGACGAGCTAGAAGGGAATGTAGGCATCAAAACTGGCCTTGCCCACATTGGGACTCATGCACTTCTAAAGATGCTTTTGGTAAAATTTCAGTTCGTTTTGGCATCAATTATGTATTTACTTATTATTGTCTACCATTATTTTTGCTTTATTTGTATGTAGGAATTAAGGAGCCTAGCAATTTTCTTAGACATATCTTTATCTAGTAACCCAACGGAAGTTCTAGTTTTTCAATATCAAATATAGAAAATCTTATGGTGCTGTTGCAATGAACTTGAGGGATTAGGTTGGGCTGACAGGATTTTCATGTGACCAGCTTTTCTGATACAAAAGCAGAAATATAATCCCTTAGAATCTTAACAACTTCAGAATATTTGGTTGAATACTTGTTCTTCTTCCGTATGAGTTAATCATAGTTATATACGTATTTTCTCTAATCTCTATAGCTTTTGCTGATTGTAATCAACTTATTTAAATTGCTAACTCATAAGAGTTATATAAGGAATTCCCAAGGATCCCTGGATGTTTCATGTTAAATGTGGCTCGAGAGGTATCTCAATATGTCAAAAATACCTCCATTTCAAGTGTTCACTTGTGTATCTAAGCAAGGGGTCCATTTAATATCTCATATCACATGCAGACAGGCACATACTGACTTGACTTTGATCTACCATGCCGACAAATGCAGTTGAAATGGCAACGAATTAGATGACAACTCTTTTTGTGGGTCTTGCACATTTCTAAAACTTGATAGTGGGTTAGTTAACTAAATATCCAATTATATACTCTCTCTCGAACAAGCTAAGCAACAAGCATGAGTAATTGAGGAGGTGGCCAGCAAACTTTTATGACTTCGCATCTAAGAGTCAGAATTTTCTGTAAAAAGTGTGTTAACCTGTTGAGAAAAATGGTCTTGGCCTAAATTGAAGAAGTGATCACATCAACATCACCCATAGCAATATAGTGACTTTATAACTCATTGGAGATTTATTTCTCTGTAAATTAATCAAGATTTAAGGGTCAACATTATGTGCTGTATGATAAATATTACCTTGTTCGTTCCTCGACAGAAGTCCACTGTCCATATTTGCTATGATCAAGGATGCATGCAACTATGAGTGGTATCGTATCCCTTTCCTATATCTTTGTCAAATGATCTAAAAAAGTTTGACTCCTGTGGAGCAGAGGGAGTAAAATTGTTGGTGATATATCGAAGTACACTAGCTTTGTAAGTCGTGATTTTTTTTTTTCATATGCTCTTTGTCTACAAATCTATAAGAGCAGGATAGGTGGACCATTACTTAATCCTGAGTTAGATTCTACACCATACACACAATGTGCTTAGTGGTTTTGCTTGCCATTTTATTACTTATTGATCGCCGACTACTCCTAAACTTGTTTCAATTTCCTTTCCAGGTTGACAATTTTATTCATGCAGATATGCATCCGGGAAATATTCTTGTAAGGGTGACTCAGGGCAAAGCATCAGATACAGGGTTGTTTAAATCTAAGCCTCATGTAATTTTCCTTGATGTGGGCATGACTGCTGAACTTTGCAAGAAGGATAGAGTCAATCTGATTGAGTTCTTCAAGGCTGTTGCTCTTCAAGATGGACGTGCTGCTGCGGAGCACACACTTAAATTTTCAAAACATCAAAGCTGCCCAAACCCAACAGCTTTCATTAAGGTGAGACTCTTGCACTTCTGGAATCCTGTATGTATGCCATTTTTCTCAAGTTCATACTTATTTTGTACTTCAAGTAATACCCCCAAATTTTGTTCATTTATTATTTGAATCACCCCTGTTTATGTGAACTTTGGGATCAAGTAAGAATGGAATACATAAACCTATTTCTTATGGGCAACCATATGTTAACTAACTAGAAAAGAGGAACGTTACTCCTGGTGGTCATCGGATACCAATAGAGCATGCTGGTAAATATATTCTCTAACTAACATACTTGAACCAAGATTTTCAGCGCATAAACTTCTGGAAGCATTTCAGCTTAGATGCATGCCACTCTTGTTTCAATTGACAGTTCATATTCTTTGTTGCTCTCAGTAAGCTTCCAATAAAGTTGAGAGTTTGGATCATAGCAGTGGCCTGCTTGCTCTGAGTGCCATGAACAATTGTGTTCTCCATTGCTGAGTATGTTGGTCAAAGGCTAGGTGATTACAACCACAAGGTTGTGAACTGTATGCAGATGGACACTTTGTGCTGATGGCACCAATGATTGATCTGGTTTACACCAGTGATTGGTCTACTCTTTGCTGTAGCGGGCAGGTCTGGGTACATTCCACCCTCCCCAGACCCCATTTCTGGGTGGGACATACTAGGTTTCTTTGGTTTGGTTTACAAAAATGATTGGTCTGTGTTCAGTCTGGCACACTGGGCGAGTAAACATACCAGGTGATTTTCTCTTGCACAGATGGCGCCATGTTATTTGGTTCATCTTAAATTGGCATATGATTATTATTACTTTTGGTAACTGTGGGCCTGGGTCAGCTGGCGTGCATCTCAGTTAATCCCATGGGGCCGCTTAAGATAACAGGAATCTCCATTGGCCTTGAGGAGACTAGACAGGCGACCTATGTGGAGGAGCCCAAGGCTTAGCCTTTATTTGTCAGTTGAGCTGGCCCTCAAGGTCTGAAACATGGTTACTATTGAATTACACTCTTCCAGCTTCTTGCAGACTTGATATGATATACTAGATTCCAAATTACAATCAATGATTACTAGAATGACTACCATATCATAACCATGAGGTCTCTAAAGGTTGCAGTTTGAAACCAAGTATTGAGCTAACACAGTCAAGGAGTGTGGTCTGATTAGTTTGCCCTCTTATTAATGAAAAGTTACTTCTACTTCCCTGTAAACTGTTTCTTTGTGAGCTGGGTTTATTTACCGGACAATTAGTAAATTTACGGACATTGAGTGTGAATATTAAGGTTATGTTTGGCAAACTTGATAAGCTGGTTGTTGGCTGAAAAACTAGATGTTGGCTGAAATGCTAGTTGTCGAGTAATAAGCTAACTGCTTGCTGATAAGCTAGTGACATTTGGTAAAACTACCTGATAAGCTAGAAGACAATGTAAAACAACCTTATAGGGCATGTTGGAAATTACTCAATTCTAGCATATCATATTCATTTCATCATATTAAAATAAGTAGTAACAAAAATAGAGTTTTGTGGTTGTTCATATAAAATATAAGGGGTATAATTGAAATTTTTTTCCCCATGAAGGAAAAAAGCAAATAGCACATGCCAAACACATTCATAGAGTTTTTGGTCACTTTCGATAAATATATGGGGCATATTTGGAAAAATGTGAAACAAGCTAGTGGAGTTAATTGAAAAGCTCCAGAGGCTTACCAAATGGGTTTTTTCTGGTAATGCTAAAATAATAAGTTAGCTTGTGATCGCCAAACATGGCCTAAGTAAGCAGATATCTTAATATTTGTTTTCCATGTTTCCAAAAGTTTGCAACTTGGACATTTTATCTATCATTGCTCCCCTCCCCTGATCTTTTATTTCCAGCATCCTTAAAAGAAACTCTGGTGTGACAGGATGTCGAGGAATCATTTATGTCATGGAGGTCTGCGGAAGGTGACTCCATCCATCCTGCAGAATGCATGCAGCAGTTGCTTGAGCAAGTTAGGCATCATAGAGTTAATATCGATGGCAATGTGTGCACTGTAATAGTAACTACATTGGTTTTGGAGGTAATTTCTTGCATCTCTGGGTATTTGTTTGTTTCTTTCTCATATTCAATGAAATCTACATACGAGAAGAAAATGCTATTTTTACAAAGCTCACAATGTCGCTATTTTTCTATCTTAATTGCGCTAATTGTCACCGACCTTTTGGGCATTAATCCAGCTCACTGATCACTGCACCTGACCACACATTCTTATGTCATAGTGCTAGTTAGTCTATTCTATGTGCAGAACTGCTAGTTAACTGATTAACCTTCAAATGACCTGCCTCTAGTGTTTTAACGCCCTGCTTGTTAATCAGGGGATATTTAGGTATATAGCCTAAGACGAAGGATCGTGTGAGAATAGGAGTTAAGGTGAGAAGTGTAAGAAAGAACGGATTTATACCCTTGATCACTTTTAATCTCAAACCAACCCATGAATTGCGCTTTAAAAGGAATTGATTCAGTGTATCTCATTAGAGTTGATCTTGTATATCTCTTCAATTAGGATTTTTTTCATCTCAATCTTACCGAGGATTCTCTCTAACGCTGTGATCTCTAAATTGGAGAGAAGACAAAAGAAAAGAAAGGAGGGAAAAGAAAAGAATTTTTTATTTGTGTTTCCGAAAGGAAAGGAAAAGGAAGGAAAGGAAATGAAATGAAATAATTTTTCATGTTCTTGAACAGGAGAGAAAGGAAAGAAAAGATGTTATTTTTACCAACATATCCTTTAGAAATATATCAATTAGAATGAAAAATTGGGTAGTTTTCTAATTTTAATATTTAAAAAAAAAGATTTAATGTCTTTCCTTTCCTTTCCTCCCACATTTGGGAGGAAACTTATTAATATTTTTCTTCCCTTTCCTTTCTCTCTTAAAAAGTTTCGAGATCACGAGTATTTTTTTACTTTCCTCCCCTTTCTCTTCCTTTTCTTTTCTTTCCTTCGTAAAAAAGGTTTCGAGGAAAGACAAGGGATTATAAATAAAATTATCATTTTTTTATTTCAAATTTGGGATTCTATTTATTAGAAATTGATCGAAATTGAAATCAATTTCTATTATCCTTTCTATTTGATTATTGATCCAAGGGTGGAGATGCTTCACACCCTTCTCACCAAGCATGATCCGTGTTAAGTGTGATGAAGTAGTGTCCATGAGATTGTGTTGATTCGGCTTTGGAGCAACAGATTTTGGCACTGGCAGTAACATAGAAATGAACAAAAATTTACAATTCCAGTGATTTCTTTTTCAAAGTTCTTCGAATCTTCCCATGAATAAATGGCCACATAGTCCGGTGACAATTGATCCTTTTCCCAGATTTGTAAAATGTTGGTTATTTTTGTGCAGAGTTGGCAGCGGAAGCTGGACCCCGAGTATGATGTGATGAACACATTGCAAAATCTTCTATTTAAAACCGATTTGGTGGAGTCTCTCTTCTATACAATCGAAGGACTCATGGCTCCATGAGAAAGGTGCCCTCCCTCTTCCTCTCAAGAAAAAAAATATCGTCTAATTTTGTTCCCTAATAAATTCTATAACGTACACGAATAAGAAAAAAAGAAACATAAGTCATCCTACTCTTTAGGGTAAAGGTCAGCCTGCATTCATCTTACCCCATAAACCTCACTTCTGGGTGAGATATACAGGGCTCGTATTGTTTGGTAAAAACAAAAACAAAGTAGTAAATGATTTTATTGTGACGGAAAAAATAACAAAAACATTGCGTAGTTTTGAGACCGAAAGAGCTGATTTTGCCAAATTTATTACTTTTTGTATACTTTGTAATGTTGGCATCCTAGATGAATTGGATGAGTGTATGGTATTGTCATTTGTACACTAGTAACAAGCACAATTGTATCTAAATTTATACTTTTGAGTGGGTTATGTAAGATGCTTCGTTTTGGGGCGTTTACCAAATGCTTAATGGGTCAACTTACCTTACTAGATGAGCATGGTCAGTAGGGGTGTGCAAAACCCGAAAATCTGGAACCCGACTTTTGGGGGATATATGGGTTTGGGTTGGGTTTAATTTTTGGCCATCTAACCAAATTAAAACCCGAAATTTATATATATATATATATATATATATATATATATAGTCTGTGCATATTATATACATATATTTATTTATTTGAGTATATTTTGAAAATCTTAAATCCTAGTTGGCTACATTGTTTCTAAATTCTAAATCTAATATCGATTTCATCAATCCTATTGAATTCATCCTCAAAATCGATTGAATATATATTTGTTTGCATATAACTATGCCCGAATTAGACCGATCCCAATCCAAAACCCGACCAATACGAAACCCAAAATTCGGAGTCCATATCAGAAATCCGATCGGATTTTTGGTTTGTACACCTGAACCTGCCTGACCCTTCCAATGCACACCCCTAATGGCAATGAAGAAAAATCTTACAGGTAAGTGAGGGAGAGATTCTTACCCGTTTAGCGCTTGCAGGGTAAGGACTTAAATGTTACCCAACATGATAAACTCTTGTTGATAAATGCTTACCTGAAATGTATCTGGTTAAACGGCCTTTGGTTACATGATACCTGTATAAAGGGGATTGAAGGTGGATTGAGAATATATCAGAAAAGAAGTAAAAACATAATTGAGTGCAGTGTTGACGAATCTCTATTGGATTTGGAGATTCATCAACGCTGCACTCAATGATGTTTTAAGTTCTCTGAAAAGTCGTATTTCTTATGGGAATATGAGGGGTTGTGTATTTATATATAAGTTGGAAGTGGTTGATTCATGCATATTGTACATGGTGCCTACTTCCATCCGTTGTGGTACTTGCGTTTTTGCTAATCGTACCGCCATTCTCGTACTTGTACTCTCATCTCTTGTTTTCTGTACTACAAAACTCTCACATCTCTCTCTCTCTCTCTCTCTCTCTCTCTTTATATATATATATATATATATATATTATTGTATTGTATTGTATTATATTATATGTGAGAAAGATGATTACATTGCCTTTTTATATGTAAGCTTGCTTATAAAACACAACTAGGGGTTTAAATGAGTTGAGCTTTTAGCTTGCGTTTGATACACTGGATATGACAACACAGAACATGACAGGAACCCATGTCCCATATTTGGTATAATTTTTATATGGAACAAATAAGAACATAGTAGAACATGCCTGTTCTACCTCTACCTCTACCTCATGGAACAGGGTGGAACAAGGTGGAATGAACTTATATTTTACCATTATAATATCAAAATAAAACATAATTCTCTTTAAAAACATTGAATAGGTCTACTTTTTATATTTCATTCATTCTTTAAATTTTATTTATTATATTTTATGTTAATTAGACTTTTATTTTACTGTTCTCAAAATATTATTTTTATACGGTTTCTATATTTTTTTTAATTTATGTAATTTATTATATATTAATAATAATAAATAGTATAGAAAAAAGATAAAAATAAAAATTGGAAAGCACATAATCTATCTATTTGGTATCATTTTAATTGTTTTGACGAAAATTTTCAAATGATATATTTTTTGTTATAAAAAATAATTATTTTATTATAATTTAATAAATTTAATAAATTAATTAAAATAAACAACTCATTAGGGGTAAATTGGTTATTTTACCTGTTCTGTTCTGTCCAGTTGTATCTTACCAAACGTTGAACAGTTGTTCTATTCTGTCTTGTTCTGTTCGTTTAACGAACTATTCAAGCTTGTTTATTTCGAGCTCGAGCTTAATAATGAGTAAAATAGTATTTTATGTTCTATAAACGTCACATATTTTTAAACCTTGGATTTAGAAAACTTTTGCACATTTATTGTTATCGTTAAGAAATTGCATAATATTTAATATTGTTAAAATCAACAAAAAGATTAGCTAAACCACTTATTAATTAAAAATTTTATCCTTGAGACCAGTAACTATATAAATATGTTAATATGTTTTTTAGAACGACACTGATTATGACTGGTGTATAATATCTATTATGCAAATTAAGGAGGTGTTTGTCATTGCTTATAAAAACAACTTATTGACTTATTTCGGTATGACACCGGTAATAAGCACTTCCGAGTGTTTGGATAAATTATTTATACCAGTGACAAACTGGTAATAAAGAGTTTTTGAAAAAATTAAATTATTTTAACTTATAATAAGTACTTTGAAAAATTGAAAAAAAACAAACAGTAAATGATCTTATTTTAGACATATTTTAATAAGAAAAAAACAAATATCCTCTCACATGCATAGCTACGGGCTCGACCTTGACCACATGCAACATGTGCGACCGCAAAGCACATCATAAGACCAAGAGGCATCATATTTGTTATTAGCTTTGGTTTAATTATCGGGACTATAAACAAGAAGCCCATGCTGTCTAATGCATCAATTAAGCAGCTAATCTAATTAAAGAAAGGCAAGGAAAATATGGTCATCAAGCAAGTGAACAATCAATCTAATTCCTACTGTTCCTCATCCTTTCCTATTTAACCGTTTTGATTCATTCGGTATGGGGATGAACCGCTTTCCTTGATTAGGTCCCAAACTCTTTAGAAAATAGTACGTTTCATTTACTTAAAAGATCAACATAGGGACATTTTTTAGCAATCTTGCATATGTACATCAAAACCCTAAAACCGACCCTGCATAGATATAACATGTATATGAATCTTGGTACTATATCACTCTGATTATTTTGATATGTGATACTTTACAACCAACATTTAAAAGTTAAGAAGGATGCAATATACATGTGTATGTGGTACTCTTTATCACTCGTCTCTTTTGAGATGTGAGCAAATAAACCGATTATATGTTATGAAGGATAGAAAATAACAATTGGTGGTCATTTTACAAATTTATAAACTTGTTGTGTACATATTTTAATTCTGGAATAAATTCAGCGAGACTCTCACAAAAGGATGAGGATATCAAGATTCTATGACCACCATGGAGCATCACCGGTTCTGAAATCTGTTTCCGTCCATGGAACGAACAATACCTTCCCATCATCGATATCGGCATGAGCCAATGCCAACGACTGTCCAGACATCAAGAACATATATGCATCAATACTTTGTATATAGATACAAACAAAAAGACCGCATTAAAATGAAACATATTACTTCATTAAGATACATATAAAACATCAAAGGAGTTTAAACCTCCCCAAATGTGAAGAAGGTGTGTGAATTTATTTGTCATATATAAATATTATATACTTTAAAAAGTAACGTACTTCAACTTGATTTCTATTTTAGGTAACGTACTTTCAAAACTTATATTTTGAGTAACATACTTTCAAAACTTCTATTTTGGTACCTAAGATGTAAAATTTTAAACATTTAAGTACCCGGGTAACTGGTTGAAGCATTAACAAGTTATCATGCTGATGTGGCAAGTGATGTGGTATCAAACTCAGTATTATTTGCCAACCTGGTTACTGATATGGATTTTAATCTAAAATTGGTTTTCAACCGGTTACCTAGGTACTTAAATGTTTAAAACTTTACATCTTAGGTACTAAAATGGAAGTTTTGAAAGTACGTTACCCAAAATAGGAATCAAGTTAAAGTACGTTACTTTTTTATACAATTTGTCCAAAATATTAATATCTTTCTATATATAGACGCATATAATATGATAATTATAAAAATATAATATATTTATAGTATCTGAATATAGAGGCTAAGACTTTGACCTACAAAAATAGATGCAAATGGAATTTTTGAAAATAAGTTTATAAAAAGCAAAATATGTTGTATTTTGATACAATTTATTTAAAAAAGAAAGGGTACTTGAAGAGTTGATTACCAGAGGAGCAGGACCCCTAACAACTTTGCCTTGGTTGTTGTACTGAGAACCATGGCATGGGCACATGAACTTGTTCTCGGCTTTGTTCCATGGCACGACGCACCCTAGATGGGTGCACACCGCGTTGATTCCATACGTGGCAAGGGTTCGGTCATTCTCCACCACTAGGTACGTCGGGTCTCCCTACAATCATTCCGTTATTTCATTAAATACGATGATTTGAATATATTGTCAGAAACGGATCGAGTACCATTCTATTTACAACACTAGACGTAGATCGATGGAAATACCTTTAGACCTTGTGAAAGGGTTCGGTCGCCAGGTCCATGGGTCTTTAACCATTCTTCTGCAACAATATCGTTTCCAAGCGCATCCTTAGCCAAGGTACCACCACCCGAAGATCCTCCACTGGGAAGAAACAAAATCAGAAACCAAAAACAAAGGAAATTAAACACGGGTTTCCAACCAATAAGCGAATAAATCTGGACATAGTCCAAAGTAGTAAACGAACCAATAACCTCCAAATTAACCATAACAAAAATTATTGATAGTCTACAACTTTGAGCTTAAAAACTCACAAATGCAACTTTCTAGAGGCATTGTTACAACTTAGCATGATAGTATTAATATGGGGTCCACTTCCAACACCAAGACAAGTGTCATGATTATAATATTGTTTTGTAAGATAAAACCAAATATAACGGTTTATAATCAATAAAAATCTGTTGTCCCAAAATTTCATATCTTCTTTCTTTCTATCAATCACGTGAATGAATACACATCAGATTTTTATTTAATATAACTTTATTTAATTCATGTTCAAATTCTTTTATTATGACATGTATCTTTATGATTGGTGGATAAGAATGAAACATCAGGTTTAGGACAGAGGAGTATATTTTTATTCATTTATAATGGTGTTTTTGGAATATGTACAAGTATGATTGACGGTTCGTTTTCAAGGCTAAATATATAGAAACTTCTACCGTTCTACAAGCAAAAGCTAAGGTCGTGGGGAGTTTGATGCAAATCGAAACTGAATTTTTAGGGTGTTTTGTAGAACTGAATCTAATTCTAATTTGTTGTTGCAAAGAATAAAAGTTGATTTTTAATCATAAACATAAACTGGCCTGCATCCTAATTTTAGGGGTGTTTGGATGCGTGTTTTTATGTGATTTGATTATGTATGTGTAATGTTAAATAAACATAAACAAGTATTTATCTGTAATAAAAAATAACGTTGTGTTGTGTTTTTTTCTTTTGATTAACCTGAATATCCGACCCGCTACGTGAGCCGACTAATTCCAGGGACACCTCGAGTAGCCCGGAGTCGTCCCATTTGAACCTCCATAGCCACAAGTGAATTTTTATTCTTCCTTGGATTTGATCATGGGACCTCCAGACACTTTTAATCTTTGGAGCCAAAGTTCAAACCCATCAAACACCACTAGTTTGGCTGTGCTTTGTTACTTAAATAGTTGAACTTATAATAGTTGTTCTCGAGGATGTCGAAATTTTGATAAATTTAGTAACGAGGTACGATAAAATGAAAAAAAACTAATATAATCTTATTCTTTCCATTTATGTAACGTTCGAAAGTTTGATCTAGATTAACTTAAAACTATGGTGAAAGTTATTGTAATTATTTCTCTACTCATGTTTCAGTTACAGTTTATATTAACAAAACTGTATGAATTTATCCAAAACTGATCATCTAATTGTATGAAAAACCTCTTTAGTTGAATACTGGAAATGATGAATGATTATAGCAGATTCAATACGGTAATAATCACTTCCCAGACCATCTTACATCAATCATTATTGATTATCTAATTTCGATTCTCAAACTTTCAACAAATCATTCAGAAATGATTAGGTTAAAATCAGCACAATAGATGTTAATCAGTGAGGAAGGTAAATAGTAGAGAACAGAGAAAACTCACCCTGGTGGAACGAAGAAATAGGTGTAAGGAAGTAACATTCCGGTGGTTGGGAGACCAATAGCACCTAAAAGCAACAAGTTCAACAGCTTCCTCTTCTCCATGTCCGGTACTCGATCGGCGGGAATACTCGCTGCCTGACACGTCACCTTCATTCCTCTTTCTCTTCCCGCCAAGTGATGGATCTTTCCAGATCTCGCCATTAGTCCTTGAGGAGCCGGTAATGAGAAGAGTCCATTGTTACTTGACCGCAACTATCAAAATTTTGAAATCGAAACGTATTAGCAAGGAGTCGCGTAGATACACGAAAGGATTAATGGAGATTGAATGAATACCTGAGAAGAAGTAGCAGGAGAGAGAGTAAAGGCAGCCATGGATGGAGGATAGTAAGGTAGAGCTCAACAGAAATTGGAAATCAATTTGAAGAGAGAAGATGGTAATGGATAAAGGAACGATGGATGGAGGATGGGTATGATCACAGAACCACATATTTAAGATATCACCCCAACTTTTTTTTTTCATTTATGGTTAATATCTAACCCAAAATACATGCGTATACTTTTATGTATTTAACTCATGAAAAAAAAGTTGTTTTTTGACAATTACTGAATGATTTGGTGCAAAATAATTAATTGGTTAAAATGATTAAGAGGCTCTCATGATATAGTGCAAAATGAAATATAATTGTTTGGTAATTGTTTACAATGAAATTAGGGCTCTTAATTGGTTAAGGGAGATCCATAATACAAAATCATTCAGAGGGTTTTAGAACCATTAAGAGGCAGACTTTTTTTTGTCAAACAAAATTCACCTCTTAACGATTCAGAGGTTGCCTCTTAATAGAACTATTAAGACGTAAATAAACAACCCCTAATGTGTGAATAGGAGTTAAAAAAAATGAGACGGGACATTTGATCACTTTTAATCTTAAACCAATTTATAAATTACGTTTTAGTTCATTAGTGTTGATCTAGTGAAACTATTCAATTAAGATTGATCCAAGGATGAAGATCATTTCCTACCCTTCTAACTAACTCTAAGGAGGTGTTTGGGATTGCTTATAAAAACAACTTATTAACTTATTCTCTTGTGACACCGGTAATAAGCACTTTTGGGTGTTTGGATAAACAACTTATACTGGTGTCAAACCGGTAATAAGAAGTTTTTGAAGAAGTTAAATCATTCTGACTTATAATTAGTTGATAAGGACTTTTGTAGAAAAATACAAGTTGTTTCAAATAAGCAATCCCAAACACCTCCTAATTCTCACTCGAACCCACCGTACTAATTAAATTGCTAATGGTTATATTTGGTTGGTTGTACTGTATAAGTATACAAATTTGGGTGTTAGATTGTATTGGAAGTCGCATATCATGATAGTACCATAGTATCGACTTATTTATTTTTTATTAGTTCTTTTTTATATTTTTAATGTTTTGATATTAAACATTATAGTTTTATTTATTTTATTGTGTTTGAATATTTGCATGTTTTATTTTCCTTGTAGTTAAAACTCCTTACACATCACGTGTCCCCTGACAACGCTGCATATCATTCGAATTTCGAATAAAACGGCAAGTTTTCATGTATGTAACGTGAAGTTGTGCAAAACCAATACCAGCACATACCACCCGGAAAAACTTGGTACGAGTTAATTCAGTACGAAGTACAATTAGTTGGTACACGGTTATAAGATTTTACATAACAATTATAATTGGTTGGTACACGGTATTAGATTAAAAAAAACTTGGTATCGTACCAATTATAATGTGTTGTAGATATGAGAATTTTCTTAACGAGTCTAGCTTATACAAGTTTTTTGAACGATTATTGACAAGAGGTGTATGATAAATTATTGTATGTGATTATTGGAGAGACTGAGATGAATTAAATCACTGTACGTGATTATTGACAAAAAACCAATAAAAGGGTGGTTGTGGAAAAGGGTTTTATACAATTTTTATATCATCTGTCATATTGGTCTCACAATCATCATAAAAAATATGCATGCCGTCATAAAGCAAGGCATGCTAGACCTTGTAGAAGCTACACCTTTTCTTCTGTTACGACAATTCAACAAGGACATATATCATGCGGTTGTTATTTAAGGAATACCTAAAATGTTTCTTGTAAACCGTATAGAAATCCTAGATACACCTTCAATATCTCGAAAACGCCCTAGGCTTCGTATCTTAATACACGTATTTGATTTGTGCAAAGCTATTGAAGGTTGACATAAATCTTTATATCATATGTATAGGGGGCCTTCTTTTGAGAACTCTCTAAACCATGAGATCCTTGAGAACAACGTATCATATGATGAATACCCTATATATACACCCACACAAATCATTTTTATTACAACTCGATAAATCAACCGATTCTAAACAATTTAAATTAACTTATATACCAAAAATCAAAAAGTAATACGGTAAAAAAGTAAAGAAAATCAATAATCAGCTTACAATGACCACACCAAACAGCTGGGTACGGCTGTGCAAATAATCCCATACCAAAACAGCTGGATATGGCTATACGAATAAGCCATATCTTTTATGCAGCCCATTAAGCTCCTAACGAACAGCCTCTAAGACATGCCACAGACTTAACATGACATCAACAGCGAGCCTTTTGGAACAATGGTTCTAAGTGGTCATTGCTCATTGCTAGATGTCACATTGTATAGATTGAGAAAAGCAATGAGTTTGAAATTATAAGCAATTAGTTATTTGAGCACCAATGTATATGATCCCACAAAAGGGTGGGAGAGAAGTCAAAAATGTAAACCCAATATCTCATCATCATCATCTAACTCTAACCCTTTTCCATCTTCCAAATACAAACTCAAGACCTCACCAGGAAAAGAAAATTATCACAGCCAATCCAAACGGTTGCAGAATCCGTTCGACATTCTACCCGTAAATGGCCGTCTTTCAATTCCGAATCCTCTCATAGAAGTAAAGGTATGCCATGTCTTTTGGAGGATTTTTAGAAATACCCACTTTATCGTCGTTAAAGATCACCCATCTTCCTTCTTTGTACACGTGAGCAACGTAGTGCCCACACTGGGTCGAGGTACCAATGTGGCTCACTAGTCCAAAGAGTCGGTATTCTGCAACCAAAACCCCGAAAATTAAAAACGTCAGAGACCGTTAGCCCTCTAAAGCTCCCATTTACAACAAACGTAACATTTAGGGTTTTCACAGAAAACCAATCAAAATGTTCCCCTTTTGGACTTCATACCTAGGAGAACCAAGATTTTTAGAACAAACTCATTAGTGTATAAGCAGAAAGTGGCACACCCCTAGGTGTAAACGAGTAGAGCTTTTCACGAGCTACTCAAGCTCGAGCTTAATAATTCTCGACTTGAGACTATATCGAACACAAAATAGAACCCTTTTAACTTAACGAGTCAAGCTTCATAAAACCAATGTTTGACTCGGCTCATTTGAAAGCTCGATTACATATCTCCAGTCGAGCCGAGCCATTCGAGCATCTACTTTTTCGAGCCAAACATGGTTATAAGTTGATAAATAATACAATAAAAATATAAAAATTATAACCTCAAGCCAATAAACAAGTTAATCGAACGCGAATATGAGCCTGTAAACGAGCATCGAGCTCGATAACTCAAAAAATATTCGAGCTTGAGCCCTACATTGAAAAATTCTCGAGCCTGGTATAACTTTCAAGCCGAGCTCAAATAACCTACTATTCGGCTCGGCTCGTTTACACCCCGCACACCTTTTACCTCTAGTTTAGGCAGAGTCCATAAGAGACATATAATATGCCAATGGTGTACAGAAGTCAACATTTTAATGTTGTTGGATGTAGAGATGTACATGGCCCAGGCCTTTTCGGGAATAGGATCAATCCTTCCCAGCCAGTTCTCAGCAAGCAAAAAAGGTATGGGATTTTTTAGGCCCGGTCCAGGCTTTAGGGTTGAAAAATGGCCCGATCAGGCTTTCAGGCTTAACCAGGCTTTTCAGGAACAACTTTTTTGATAAGGCCGACAAGTAGATTTTCGCCATTTTTGATTTCGTACCAACAAGAATGCAAGACTTTCTAAATAAAATATATTTATAAGGAGGCAACTCTAAATATACATATTTATATATAGAGGCGTAAATCATTTAAGAACTCCAAAATTTGTGAGATCCGTGAGAACTTCTACCTTAAGGTTATGTTTCACATGATTTCTTTCCATCTAAGTATAGTATGTGACGTATTGATTAACATATATGTGTTTCACAATGTGTGCGTCAAATGTATTCATTTCACAATGTGTGCGTCAAATGTATTCATTTCACAATGTGAAACTTATTTACGTGCAATTTTTGTTTCACAAACACAACAAAAAGGATCACATTGTGAACTGAGTACATGTGAAACAATCATATAATGAAACAAATACATGTTAGTCACTACATTAAATTCTAGCTATAGATAAAAAATATCACATGATGCACTAGTTCTCAAGGTTATCACAATTTCATGGGTTCTCAAAAGAAGGTCCTCCCTTCACACACACACACACACATATGCATATACGAACGATTAAAGTATGAGGTACTAACTTCCATCCCCATCAGGCAATGTGGCATCCACAGTAGGTCCACTGCTTGATGTGGCATCCATATCCGAAGGACCAGACGCAGTCGGGTTAAATATCCAATCCGTCGCTTTCTCAATGTCGCCACCCTGTAACACAAATCAGATTAAAACTCGTGATCTAATAACTAAAGAAAAGCGACAGTCTGGCAGAAAAAGGAAAAGGAATTACCGATGCCTTCAACGCCTTCCGAGCTATCTCTTCTTCAAATCCAAATGACACAAGTGTAGCCACTTTTGATGGATCAACCTCATTGCTTTCAGCCTCTTTGTGAATGGGAGCATCAATGTCTAAAAAGTTGAGGGATAAAGATGGAACCCATCAAAAAATGTTGTTCAACTTAGCATAGGGTGTGCAAAACCTGAATGGTCTGAAACCCGAATCCAAACCTGAACCGAAAATAAGATGTTTGTGCAAAACCAGAGTGCCCCGAAACCTCAAAATCCAAAACCCGATTTTTGGAAGATATTTGGGTTCGAGTTGGGTTTATTTTTGGCCACCCGATTCGTCCGAAAACCCAAAATATATATATATATATATATATATATATAGATTATGTATAATTTTTAAATATATATATATTTATTTGTCTAATTATCTTTTGAAAATTCTAATTCTAGGCGACCGTACTTTTTTCTAATTCCTAAACCTACTATCAATTTCATCAATCCTTTCTACTAATTGAATTCATTCTCAAAATCGATTAAATATATATAATTTTTGCATATAACTATACACAAACCTGACCAATCCCCACCCAAAACCCGACCAACCCGAACCTGAAGCAATTCGAAATCCAAAACCCAAAAATCGAGGCTTGGTTTCCATATCCAAAATCCGATCCGATTTTTGGTTTGCCCACCCGAACCCGTCCGACCACCAGATGCACACCTTATTTGCGTAAGTACAAAGAAAGTGATAAAAAGAAAATGCAATTGAAATGAAACCTGGATCGTCCATATGGGAAAGTAACCAGTTCATTGCCTCTTCCACCCCAGCATTTGAGGTGTTGATTGCAGCCTTTTGACAATGAAGATGATTAAATCCCATTGATGCAAGTTGGGAAACAATATCTTCATTAGGCAAAAGCTTCTCTGACTCTTCCTGGCCGCCAGGGCCTACATGGTAGAACAAAGTATACCAGGTTAATATATCTCCAAATGTCCTTCCTTGAGCACTTCAAAAAGAATTATGAAACCGAACGGATAATACAGATCTGCCTTCCACATATCAAAAGCTTTTAAGATACACATGTGTAAACATACATATTTGTAAAAAGAGGTTGCAGAAAAAAGTTCACTTAATAAAAGCCCAATAGGGGTATGTTTTTTTCAAAAGCGCGAAAAAGCCCGATCGAGCCCATTTTCAAACCCAAAGCGTGAATCTTTTTTCGCTTACTGAAAACAGGCTTGAAAGGCCCAGGCTTGAAAAGCATGAATCTCTACAGACTTTTTTTTACCACAAGCTGTAGTAATACGAGGATATGATGAAAGAACAAAATAAAGTAGTGCCGGATACTATATTACTATGTAAGATCGCATACATACCACCTTCAGGTAACAACTCTTCGCCTGGCTGAAGACCTTTGCTTCGCATGTGACTAATGTCTATGATGTCATCAACGTCTATGTAGACATCTGCAAGCCCACCGAAAATGTCGACATGAATGATAAAAGATCAACACAAAGTGTATCTTCATATTCAACAAGGTAAGAGAGAGAAGCATATAGAAAAAATATATATATACCAAGCTTCTTTGGCACCCAACCAGCTTCCATAACAAATTTCCTCATATGCAGCACCAGATAATCAGGAAATGAAGTCAAGCCTGCAGTTCTATTGGGAGGAGAAGGCAGCAACCAGAAAAAGTTAAAAGCAAGAAGAATGAGCTCCACCTAAACTTTTATTGAAAACATATATTTTAAAGATAGCCATAGAAGACACAAATGAAAAATGTACGCCAATAAGAACCAGAGGTTTAAAGCATATAAACAAGAATGAAAAGTGTTACAAAGTAAGCTAAAAGATGCACGGACAAGGGAACCATTAAAAATCTAATCATATTGTGGATGGTAGCTAGTACGAGCATGCAAGAGATAACAATTAACAACTGCTGATACAAAAATCAGCATTTGATCAAAACTGAATATAGAGTGCGATTAGCACGTGCCTAAAACATAACTCGGGTAAAAGTTTAGATACTTCAGTACAGTTATTCTGTTTTTATATAACACAATTGTATTTTTTTAATGTTTCTTCAATTTTGTATGTTTGGTTGGTTTTCCATCAAATCCTGTATGGATAAAGTTGTCTGTGTGGATTAATCTGTCTGTATAGATTGAGAAGGTTTTTGTTTGGGAGGGTCTTTCATAGATGGAAGGAGCGTGTTTTTTTATTGGGAGGGACATGTTCGGAGAAAAACTTGACTTTCTGCATAAAGCTCCTATCTAGAAGCTTACTGAATAAGCCACTTTCAATACCATTAAGACACTAAAAACAGTCATGTCTAGCTGACCCAATAAGCTGTGAGTATCATTAAACTCATTAAGCTGCCAACAAACAGGTCCTAAGTGAAGAAAAACATGACAGTGAGAAGATACAAGTCTAAAGGCTAATGAAAAGCTGGCAGAAGACAGAAAGCTTACTTGATTGCAGTTGTCTTGGCGTTTAATGCGGTACTATAGAAACCTGGCACCTCCTCTGGAGCAGAAAAGATATTCAAGCAATCACTTAATGGCACCCTTGGGCGTACAATTTCATCAGAAGACCTGTTAGCAGTAAAAAAATCTTGGCATGAATCATCAGCTTTAAGAAAAGATCAATAAAATAGCCACCCAATCCAAGCTATCCGACTTACATCTCCTTCCCCTCTGCCTCTTCCCGGGCCTTCAATTTGTGAAACTCTTCCAACTCCTCTAAAACACAAATGATCAATAAATAAAGTTAGAGATGGCTTCTTTCCGGCAAAGTAAGAAGTTCAACATTAGGCAGTTAAGGGAAGAACTCACTTTTGTTAGTAGCCTTCTCAAGGGGAATACTCAAGGAAAGAATGTAGTCATGCCTTTTATTGTAAGCAACCTTCCCAGAGGGACATTGCAGACGCTCTTCGATGCCAAACTTGAAACTCCTTCCGGGATCCAGTTCAGGCTTACCAGCATTGACTCGCTCAACTTGGTCGATCAAATGTAGAAAAAACTCTAGCGCATCCTAAAGATAATTTCGTGTCAGTCATCTACAAAATAAATATGCTAAGAGAAAAAGAGAAAGAAAAAAAAACAAATTGCAATTGAGAAGCAAAGTTCAAATCTTTATAGTATTAACAAGAAGTACGAGGGTGAAAATCAGTCATAGTTTGAGGTAAACAATTTGCTGACTGAAATGCAAAATTAGAATCTAGAGACTTAAATGCTGAGAAAAAACAAAAAAAGGATGCAGATCAAATATCTTTCATCATTTACAACTTGAACGCATGCAATTTCATGAGTACACAAGTAACATAAACTGAAAACTGAGGTCAAACAAGAAATGTTGCATCATGTGGTACTTGTCATCAATCTACTGACCCCACAAATGAAAAATGAACTTGGCGTCTATTATTTCTAAGAGCATCTTTAACAAATACACCAAAATGGAGAAAGTATAAGTGTATGTGAAAATCTCCAAATTTAGAGAACACCCAAAATATGATTACAACGAGAGAATTTTTTTAAAAAATATATTCCCACCAATAGGAAACTTGAACTAAATATTTTGAGAGAGAAATAATATTTTATTAGATGAATGAAATATTTTAATAATATAATCAATGTTGTATTCTCCAAAATGGAGAATCTGCTGGAGCTGAGTGTATTTTTGTTTTAAATATTTTGAAGTTCCATTCTCTATTTTGGGGAAATTTTGGAGAATTTGTTGGAGATGCTCTAAATATTGGATGTACCTGCTGGCGCATGGTTGAAAATTCAGGATGACTGGCTGCAATTACTGCCTTGAACATTCTGGGACGAACCCCTTCCTGTTTCTAAAGAAGGAATGTAACAAAATTGCAGAAGATAAGAACCAGTAAGAAAACATAATAAAACAACAGGAATATAAAAAATAGGATATCCCATAAATTAATTCATTGTATGTTAGAAAACATATATGAACCTGCAAATTGGAAAAAAAGGAATAATAAATCCAGTCAGAAACTTACAGCATCTTGCGATGAATCCGCAGCATTTGCTACATCATCTTTCTGGAGAATTAACACTTATTGGTTAAGGCACAATAAGAGATTAGAAAGGCAAAATAAAGCTAAGTTACAATAACCAACCTACCTGTACAGCTGGAACTGAATATTTACCAGAAAGCAAGCCATTAGCAAGTTTCGTTCTGCCAAACAAAGTAAAAATACTTTTAAGAGAAGTGACAAGTAAATTCAGGATGCACGAATCAGAAAGTGATTGCAAATCTCTCATAATTGAAGTAACATGTTAACACAGTCCACACACAAAAGAAAACCAAAGAGACTCGGGGGCTGTTTGGTTGATTTTCCATTGAGTTCTATACGAATAAAGTTGTCTGTGTGGATTAATCTATCTGTATAGATTGGGAAGTTTTTGTTGGGAAGGGTTTTTTCATAGATAGAAGGAGCGTGTTTTTCAATTGGGAGAGCAGATTTCAAAAGAAAAAAAGTTGGCTTTTTACATAAAGCTCCCCCTACAAGCTTACTAAATAAGCCACTTTCTAGATCATTAAGCCATTACCAAACAATCATGTATAGCTGATCAAAAAAGTTGAGTCTCATTGAACTCGTTAAGCTGCTAACGAACAGACTCTAAATATATCCCATACAGATATAAGGTATGGGGTCTCTGTCACAAGAGATATAGAGGTTGTTTCCAAAATGACCCTGTTAACACAGAGTCCATATAACAATATTTTATTTTCCATTTACTATGATTGACATATTCTTTTCTTTTACAATTGCATATCAGATAATTTGTGCACAATATTTATGCAACAATAACCAAAGAATCTAGTTATTTACTAATCCAAAAAGTGCAGTAACACCCATGAAAAAGTACTTTCACAAAAATCAAATTACAAAATAAAAGAACATACTTTTATATCAGACTAGTGATCAATAGTTGTCCCCTCTTCTATCGGTACTTCACATGGTCCATGTGTAACTTGAGGAAATAATTTGATAAGAAACAAGATGGTATCTAATGTATCTTAAATGTATTTTCATTGCAACTTTAACCCTAGGCTTCAACATGTAAATCATAATCAATGATTACACTTGTGATTTGTAAGTTTTGGAGATATTCTAAGGGAGCTTTTACTTTGAGGAAATGGTTTTAAGGGATTTGGATTTCATGGAAGGATTTGGAATTGGAGGGATTTGGATTTGAAATCATTGATGTGTTTGGTTTGTAGGACTTGGAAAGGAATTGAATTCCATTATGTATAAGAAAATTATAGATAATTATATTAAATTACCTTTTTATTAATTGATTATTACAAAACAAATGTTTTTAACATAATTTGAACCATTGTTACATACAAATCCTATGAAAACCCATGAAATACCAACCAACCCCATGGGATTTCAAAATCTTATGTATGTGGGATTTCCAGAATATACTTCAGACCAAACATGGGATTGGAATGGATACAATTCCAAATCCAATCCAATCCCATAAACCAAACAGGACCTAAGAGACATCATGAATTGGATACTTACAATTGCATATTTAGGTCTACTGTTGGATCAGCAGGAGCAGTATCAAAAGCCGTTTTCAAGTTTTGGTTCATGTAGTACCTGGCAGGGTTGAAGAAAAAAGATAAGAAACAGAAGCTCAAGGTGTCAAGACTCTCCTTTTCCATGAAGAAGCAAAATAATCATTCAAACTCCTCAAAAGCGATGGGATACAGACCGTGAACAAAATGAATGAGTTGAAAAGACAACTTGCATGGTTGCAGCCAAATAGCAGCTGCAAGAAAACAAGGTGGAACCACAAGATATAAGAAAAAAATGAATGAATTTTCATAGGAACTTCATCTAATGAAACAAAATTACCTGTTACCGAGATTAACAAGTCCTGTATACCCAGGTCCAACAAGTGGTTCAACCTCCTGTCCACTTTCTTGAATCCGATTCCAGTCAAAGTTGGTATTCTGGTCAAGTTCTTTTTCAGCTGTTGTCATTTCTGTCTGAATTTTTTGGAAGTCAGATATCAACATGTATGTCAATGTTGCACCCAAAAGACAATAGTCCAAAAGACAATAGTATAACCATCCAACCAGTGTTTATGAACATGCCACTACCAAACCTCGAACAACGAATTTCTCCATTAAAAAATATTAAAACTATCGAGAAGGCAAAATGCTTTATACCAAACCAAACGTAGCTAGCATATCCCACTCGCAGAATAGGGTCTGCAAGAGGTAAGATGTATACAGACCTTACCTCAACCACTAAGATTGAGAGGCTGTTTCCTTGAAGACCCGTGGCTTGCGCATGACGCATGGGTGTGTGCAAGCAGTCAAAAAGATTGGCAAAATGATTTATAGATGTATTAGATAACATATAAATGCTACCAGCTTTTTACTGCCGATTTCGAAAGTGTATAAAAATTGAAATGTGAACAAGATGATATCCCAATGTATCTCCGCTGCAACTTTAACTGTAAGCTTGCACTTATAAATCATAATCAATGCCTACACTTATCATTTGTAAGTTTTGGAGATATTCTCAGACGTTGTGAATTGGTGATGACCAACATCATAGTAACACGTGCTGCATATGTACTTAAGATGTAGGTTAAGTGTTGTCCCTGTCGCCAATCTGTGATGACGTTGGGCCATAAATCTTAACAGTGTTCACACTGTCCAAAATGTGAGAACTCACTTATCCAAATATGGACCATCATACTACCTCATTTGGACAGCTGCAATAGTAATTACAACTTTCCAGTAGAGCACTGCCCTTTATACTGGAGGACTTCAGACGGCAAGAAATTAGTTCTTTTTAATCTTAACATAAAGGAAGGAGAGATATAGAGTTAAAATAAAGTAATCAATCAGGCTCACTTTTCTCCAATGAAGTCGTATGTTTTACATAAATTAGTTCATAAGATACATCCGTAAGTTATACAAAGAAGTACTTTGTTGGGCACGAGTAAAAAGATTGAAAGGGACTAACCTTTTGCAAGGAAGAAAAATCAATACCAAAAAAGGCCAGATGCTCCGCCAGAAGAGGATCAGTCACACTTTCATCCTCCGGATAAGAAAAAACGTCTGAGCTGCCAAAAGATGGAAGTCATAATTATATTTGAATAAAGATGAAGTTCAAACCAAAAAAGTTAACACTATTTGCTTAATAAGCTCTTTACAGACTATAGACCATAAACAGTAAACTTCTTGTTGTTAGTAATAACAAAGAACAGCAGTAGGAACACAATGCTACATTGGTCTTGCCAATAGTTAATCATGGCACGACACAATTTCCCCACAATGGTATTGTCAAGAAATGGGATTTACAATTCAACGAGCATAGGACTTGGCATTCTTCTTAAACAAGCTCGCATTACCTGCTCCTTCTAGATCAGAAGTTATTGTCCCAAGCTTCACAGCAAGAGGATAGCGAGTTTCATTGTAATGATCAATAGCATGGTTATTACCACCACTCCCATCCCAAAGTTTGCGACCACAGAGGATCATTCCATCGGTTAAATTCAACCAAAGATTGTCAGTCTTATCACACTTCGCACACTTCCACCCAGATGGAGGTATGATGACACCATTATCTATTTGTTTCAGGGTCAAAGCATATTCACTAGTTTGCTTTTTATCAGCTGTCCAAGACGCAACTTGCTCCTTCCGCTCAGCACCCTCCGCGATTAAAATTGCATCAACTGCCAACCTTACCTGTGCAGAAACAAGAATGAGCCTTTGTATAGATTGCACAAGTCTGGAACTAAAAATCTCCCAAATGAGAAAAGAACAAAGGAAAGACAAATGCAGAACCATGAAATAAAAACAAAGAAAAACCTTCTCAGGCAGTGCCACTGATGGAAAAGGAAAAGTCACATAATCTGGTAAAATTACTATGTTGTAAGTTTCATCATATTCGAGTTCTTGATTATCAAAGCCTCCATCGATACCTACAAGAATAAGCCATACAAATGAAATCAGGCATGCAAGTTCAATTCTCATAAAGTGCATTAACAGCTTATTAATAATATTTGATGGTCTTCATTACTAACTCCACACATACCAGAAGGTTATTGGCTGGCATGCCAACAAGATGGAATTCACTTCCAGTCTGGACCCCACCCTAGCCGGCTACCAGAGAAGAATGACTGATGGAGTTGCATAAATAAGCTTTTCTAAGTGGTGCATGAGTCTTTTTTTAAGTACCTAATATTTATATACGGCAAATGAAACTCATTCACCCCCCCCCCCCAATGTTTGGTGATGTTGGAACCCTTGACCTCTAGAAGGTTAGGTTACCAGATACTGCTAGGCCAGAGGCCCTTTGGTAAGATCTAGTACCATGACCTCAAAGCGATGCATCAGTCTTGTTTATACTACATTAGAGTATGAGACAATTTACATGAAAACTGTGAAGCAAAATCTAGTACCATGATTTTTGAATTCCATAATGCAGTTTGTTTTTAATCAAAAGTGATGGAAGATTTGAAAGCCAGGTGACATGCTACATACCAGTAAAACATCAAAGCAGCAGAAACAATATGTGCACTATACTATCAAGAAGATAAGTCAGAAGCTCAAAACCCTGGTGCAAAATTATAAGTTAAAATTATTGCATGGCTGCACCTACTAGTACCCTTTTTTAAGATGGTTTTGCCAGGTAAACATGTTTCGACCACAAGTGCCTCAGGCTTGCAAGAGACCTTTTGAACATAATTGTTTAATATAAATTTCATATACGACAATGCGGTAAACCAGAAATTGGAGAGATTGCCAGTGATGAAGATCCTAAAATACTATAACCACTACAGTTTTTCTCCTGCTATGGGAACGGAAGATCCTAGAAGCACAGCTCTTAACCACCCACTTCAGAATCCAATTCAAGAAACTAATACAATTTCAAATTTTTCTATGCTTATTCCGCTAGTGGTGGAACGCATTGTATTTTCCCATACATGATTCACTTGTCAATAGGATTCATACACCATGTTGTGTACATGATACCAAAGTTCAGGACCTAAACATCTACTCAAACTTTTGAGATGATTACGTTAGATGCTATCAAAGTGACTTCAGTTAAAATAACAAAAATTGCTACAGTCGATACCTATAGCCAAGAGAGTAGGTTTCTTCAAAGGTCTATCTTCAGGAATCGGCTTCTTCGTTTGTTTTATATGCAAATAAACCGGGTTACCAGTCTTCTCAAAATTCCAGCCAACATAATCCTTCCCAAAGGCAAGAAACGTGTTCATGTCAACAAATAATCCACCTTCAGATTTCTGAAGCAACAGAAACACATGTTATGACAAATCAGAAAATCAGGTACCCAAAAGAAAAAAGAAAATCAGGTACAACTTCACATAGTGACACAATGACACAATGCATCATTACAAAAGTGATTAAAAATAATGAACACTTCAAATGAAATGCATAGGAGTTCCGGTACTTGCAAAATACCAATACTTTATTAAAACTTTATAGTGTTACAACCAATGATACGTCTGACATAGTGACATTATATACGAAGTTCAAAGCAAAAAACAGTACTTCAACTTTACATATTAAACAGATCACTTTGCAATTTTGGAGTTAGCTTGAATTACAAATTTCTATCAACATGAAGTAAGCTTCATAGGCAGTTGCCAAGTTCCAAGAAAACCGAAATACTTTGCATTTAGAAAGTATTAGGATTGGCATCGGAAATTAAAGCGTAGCTCCTAGGAAAGACCTGTATCCAGTGAACCGTGGTATCAAAAAGCTAGAAAGAGAAAACAGTATCACTAAGAATGATTAAGTTCTGTAAGAGAACAGTAGTTATGTCTATATGCAAGACAAGCAAACCATCTTACTAAACCCTATAGTTGCAAACTAGTCACCATTTACTGGTTCACCTAACTAAGTTTTTCATCAATTCCTATTTTATCTAGTTTCATAAGCTATATTTCACACATCATCTGTGCATACAAACCAGGAAAACAGGATAATAGAGACAAAAGGTTTAAACAGGGCGTCCAAACAAACACAAAATACTCTTTGAACGAATGCAAGTCCCCAGTACCATAACATTCTTGCATTCGAAAAGTACTACTTTCAAATATAAAACTTAGTGTAGCTCTCGTGGAGGATATGTATCTCACAGTCTCAAACGAATTACACACAAGAAACCGTTTCGCTGTGAATCATGATATGGTCATAAAGCAATAATTATCCATATATACAAAACATGCATACCATCACTCTAGGCCTTGTAACAGCAAATTAGTCAAATTACACAACCCTAATCTTTCCCAAATTAAGAAATTGCATAAAACCCTATTTAATCCAGTTATCATAAACCTCATTTCAACATCGTTGAAACAAAGAAAACGGAAGAAACAAAAAAACTCACCGGAGTATCGAAACTGATACAGCATTCCTGCTTGTAAATGCGATTGGTAGGCTCCGGAATACGGACCTTTGACAGATTCGTTCGGAGAAGTTCCATCTCCATATAATTTCGTTCAAATGGATAGCTCCTACTGTTTAGATGATCGAAGAACGATGGAGTGAAGCTGGAAGTCGCTGTGTATTCGTTGCCCTAACGTTTATGGAAGCAACTCTGCGCCGAAATGGAGACCTCTGTGTTTGTGTTTCTAGGAAAGCAGTCCTTCCAGTTCAATTCTACACGCCAAATTAAAGTATTGATTCGTGGTTTTTTCCATTTTTGGTCCCTGTAATTTACACAGTTTTGCATTTATGATCTTGTTCTTTTGGTAATATCTTTTTTAACCCTTGTATTTAATGAATTATCTTGGTTTCTTCCTCAAAACTTTTTTGTTTAAATTTTAACATTAAAATCAAACAGGGCGAGTGTAGGTATTCATCAAAACTAGGGGTGAACGTAGGTTGAATTGGGTTTGTTGTATTTCGATCTAGGAAATCAAAATTCATTTCAAAGAGAATTGTATAACTCAACCCAACCTAGTATAATTCAGGTTGGGTTGAATATAGTTTTAGAAAATTTGTTAGATTAAAATTTAAGCCCTAAGAAATCAAGTATTATAAAAGTCCGGTTGTCAAAACGAACTAATTTTGTTTAAGTGAAAACAACTGGTAGGCATTCATGTAACAGAACTAATGGCTTTGATATGAAAGATAATAATATACATAAGTTTAAAACTCAAATATAATTTAGAAGGTGTAAATATGACTTTGAAGGCATGAATTAGGAACAGTGGATACACAGTAGTCGGGTTATTGGAGTAGGTTGGGTTCAATCGGGGCTCTCACTTGGCCATTTGCAACTTACATGTATAGGTTGTATATTTTGTCAATTAATTAAGCTTTGAATTGGTTCGACTTATTTTTAAGTTGGGTTTATTGGGGCATTAGGTTGTTCTAGTAGAAACCAACTTGAACTAAAAAACAAATCAAAGCTTTAATTCAAATATAATTGAACCAATGGGTTGTTTGTTCGTCTCTTAATAGTTCCATTAAGAGACATACTCTAAATTGTTAAAAGGTGAATCTTATTTGACAAAAAAAATCTGTTTTTTAACGGTTATAAAACCATCTGAATGTTTTTTTATATCATGACCCTCTCTTAACCATTCAGGGTCCTAATTTCGTTGTAAACAATTACCAAACAACTATATTTCATTTTGCACTATATCATGAGGGCCTCTTAATCATTCTGGCCATTTTATTATTCTACACCAAACCATTCAGTAACTGTCAAACAACTCTTAAGTATTAAACAAAAAAAAAAGTTATCAATCATCTTAGTAAGCTTTTAAAGGTTTTGCAATCGCATTCAGAAGTATTAACCAACATACATGCACTTGTTTCGACTAAACTTGTTGTTCAGAAGGCATAAATGAGACCTAAGTGTAAGATAAATACACTCATGAGGATGAATTTTGAAAATATCGTAAGTAGAAGGGGTCTAAGTGTACATTGTATGTTAACCGACCTCCTCCTATATTCACTTTGCGTGTCTGGGACCGGGTGAAAGAAGCCTCCAAAGTCCAAACCCATCCGTAAGGCCCATTTAATTAATTGTAGGCCCCAAAAAATATTACCCTCCTCTTCCTTATAATTATCAGCTTTACTTATTTTATCGGTAATATTTTTGACCATTAAAACGAATTATTAATAGAGGTGTTCATCGATTGAAATCAAATAAATTTAGGTGGATCCAATTCGATCCGATCCGATCATCCATTGGATGTTGGATTTTGTCATCCGATCATCCATTGGATGATGGATTTTGTCATCCGATCCAATTCAAATCCAATGGATGATTGGATTCGATCGGTTCCATTCATTTGATGTTACTACTGGTTATCCATTGGATTGGATTAGACTCGTCCAATCTTTTGATCCAATATTCAACCAATTAATCCACTATTTCAACCAACTTTTTATTTCCTTTATTAAGTTATTAAAACACAATGTATATAAATATAAACTAAAAAAATATTGTAAAATGTTAATTATATATAGTTATTAATTGGATGGGGAATTGGATGGTCATTGGATTGGACCGGTTCGGTTTTATTGGATGTTGGACTGTCATCCAAAAATCGACCGATCCGATTTGGATGTTGAAATTTTGGATCCGGATCCGATTTGATCTTATTACGATTGGATATCTGAAATTTTGGATCCAATATAATATAATTTATTAATTAATATATACGAGGTGGGGGGGGAGTGCGATACCCGACCCCGTCCCCATCCCCATCCCCAGTTTGAGCCAAACGGGGATCCCCGTCCCAGTTCCCGATACCCGGTTTAATGGAGAATCCCCGTCCCCGACCGTGGCGTGTGGACCGCCAATTCTCATACCTACTTGAGGTCGCGGGTTAAGTCATTCACACACTCTTACGTTGAGTATTAGTGTAAAATCAAATGCGATTTTACATGTGATCCAACCGGTTTTCGTATTATTTTATTTGATTACTATTATAAAAGAAAGAATCCAACAATGCCGATGGTATGCACGTATTATATTTGTTGATATTGATATTTAGACAAGGAGCGTGAAAAGCGGACAATCAATCTGAAAATATATGCTTACCGTCGATTTCTCAAAAATCTGTGTCTCTCTCAATATATATACATTTTGCAACCCAACCCAATTCAAATTCATGAATTCATGTGATCCCTGATCTTTTTGTGGCAATTAAGAAATATGGATGATGAAAGTTCAAGCAAGAAAAAGAAGAAGAGAGCCAGAAGCTTGATTTTCAAATACTGTTTCCGGAAATCCGGTTCTTCCCGCTCCGATGATCCCTCGTCGTCCGGCAAGGTTTTGGCTTCCGATGACAATTTGGTCTATTGCGACGTCAGCACCAATGGCAATAGCGTCGATTCCGATAAATCCACCAAGAAATCATCCTCTTCTCGTGGTCGTATGTCCAGAATTTTCAAAGCTGTCTTATTCGATACAGCCATGGTGAGAATAATTATTTATACGAAAATTTTCATTATAATATATATATATACAAACTATACGTGTAAGAATAAGAGTTAAGATGAGAAACGTAAGAAAACATCTGGATCTTGATCATTTTTAATCTCACAACCATGAATTGCGCTTCATACAAGAATTGATCTTGTGCATCTCATTATTGTTGATCTTTAATTATGATTGATTCAAGGATGAAGGTCTTTCTCATCGTAACTTTCTTTCCCATTAGAAGCCAATAGATATGTATGTGTATGTATCTATATTCATTTAGTTTCCGTTCGATCGATCGATTATCGGAACAGAAGAAGAAGATGCGTAGCAAGAAATCCATAAAAGCTACATCAGCATCTGCCGGTTCATCGCCTATACCGTATGATTTTCCGAAGACGGACGAAATATTCAACGAAAATATGATTGTTAATTCGAGCATCAAGAAAATTTCCGATGCGGAGGACTCTTCTAACTCTAACGATCATTCTAGCCAAATCGTGTTGTCGCCCAAAGTCGCTGCACCAGCCACAATCGTGATGCCCACTGCCGCATTACCCGCTACCGCACCCGCCGCAATGCCCGCTACCGCACCCGCCGCATTGCCCGCTACCGCACCCGCCACATTGCCTCTGGTACCTTCGTCACCATCTTCACCAATCACCGCAAATCCACAAATCGTGCAGACAGAGAGGAAATTAACATCTCGAGTAGACTCGATGAAGAAGAAGCCACCGCTTCCGCCATATTCACGAGTAGAATCAATCAAGAAGAAACAAATTCCTGCAACAACAACAGCAACAGCAGCAGCAACAACAACACCACCACCACCAAGAGATCGCAAACCTGCGAAAGGCGCAAACAAACCAAAAGTTCGATTGTGTCTATTAATCCTCCTCAGCCTTTTCGTTACGGTGGCCCTCTGGACGATTTATGCCGCCATCGCAACCGAGCCTTCCGATATCGACGCAGATCCGTACACAGACATAGTAATCACCGGAGACGAGTTGTAATCACTATATATGTGTTAATTTCAGGTATATACTTAGGGTGTATTTCTTAATTAAACAGTTGAAATATAATATATTTAGAGGTGCATTTAATTGATATCTGATTCAAGTTTTAAAATGAATGCAATGTTATACGGGTCGGGTCGGGTTGAGGAAGTATGAGATCAGAGTGCAGGTGATTTTGGTGCTGCATAAACTGCAAATAGCAGCAACTGCAGATCTCTATTTTTTACCTGAACCAACCACTCATCAAGTTTAAGGTCTCTTCCATTAACAGAAAGCTTTTTTCCAGCCTCTCTCTTTATTCATCACATGCTCATAATGCTAGGGTTTAATTTTCTAGGGTTGCAGTAAAAGCTTCATCTTGTCCACCCTCATAACAATTAAACCATCTGGACCTATGTCTCATCTCTTAATAGTAATCCTTCAATTAATGGTGTGATCATTCATCTTATTTACATGATATGTGGCATGAGTACCACATCATGATCATGTCCCATGCTTCTTCTATGAAATACCTACAAAATACACACACACATTTATATGTATAGGGGTAAATTCCGTTAGGAAACTAAAACTGATTAGGAACCGTGAACCGACCATTGCATGACTCGTGACATATTTATCATGAATATAGACGTGTTAATTCATCCCAAAGAGGACAGATTGTGCGTTGTGACATGTTTTCCAGGTCCCTAACGAACTTCCCTCTATACATATGTATGTATGTTAATTCATCATGGAAGTATTATTCATGATGGTTATTCATCCTAAAAACAATACATGACACACGATGATCGATTTTTGGGTTTCTAGCGGAAGTTTCCTCTATGTGTGTGTGTATATATATATGTGTGTGTGTGTGTTTTTGTGTATGTATAATTCAGAAGGAGAAGATAAAAGGAGTAATAGAAAAGCAGGTGCACCAATGCTTGGATCACATGCAATACATACAAAGGTGAAACGACAGAAGTCTTAAATGACAGGCTACTAATATGAAAGCTTTAGAGACAGATCAACGGAAGAAACACTTCCTTCTTCGCTACCAGTTATAGCTGTCACACATGATCCCTCACCACCACGTAACCCTATCATTCCACCTCCAACTGAAGTACTCCCACACCATGTTGTCGATCCCATTCTCATCAACTCCTTGTAGTCATCT